CAAACACCCTGGTACAGTTCTTTGCTCTCCCTGGCAATCGTAACTGGAGAACGATGTTTGCAGAGGGACCAAAGGTGGCTTCAATCTTCCCAATATTTGGTTGAGGGGAAGTTTCTGTTTATCCAGGGCTGCTTGTCAATCAGTCTGATCACTTAGAGACAGCAGAGCTGAGCAGTGTTGGTGGTAATAAACCAGACCTGGATATCATCAGTCTACACAAGGAATCAGATGGCATCACCAGGAGGCAGTACATAGCTTAGAATTAGCTGAACCTCGAGAGGAAACTGTATGTAAGTGGGAAAAGGAATCATCTCTGGAGATTCTCTGGCTACAAAGAGATGAATGAGAATGGCACCAACTGAAGGATGGAGAGGTGTTAGTGCAGGACAGTGTGGTCAAAGGCTGCAGGGATCTCTGAGGACAGAGAGAGTTTACCTTTGTCACAGTCACACAGGATGTTGTTTATGACTTTGATGGAGCGAAAACTTGATTTGAGATTAAAATGTAATGCAGGACAAATGGGCACAGATTTAGGCAATGACCATATGTTTGAACATCCTCTTATGCAATACTTAGTGAGTATACCCACCCCACTGTACACTGTACAGTAGGGGAATGTGCCCCCCATCACTGAATGGAAGAGGTGCACGCCCCACAAAATTCCATAAACCGCCTTTTGAGCGACTAACTTTGATCACATCTGCCCCCTAGTGGAATCAGCATGCTGTACATCTACAGGCAACATGAGGAAATGTCAATCAGTCCCAGATACTGAGATTTGTACAGATACCCAAATCTCCCTCACTAATCACAGGCCAGGTTTGCTGTATCCGTTCAGATAGTGTCTGTTTTAGTTTGCTGTTACCCCATTTGTCATGGAATTTGAGGATTAAACTATTTGTTGGTTATTGTCAAATTTCCAGTGAACAATTCCAGAAAGGAAAGAATCAACAGCTCCCTCTGTGGTTGGACTCGATCAGTGAGGTTCCCAGTGTGAAGCCCTGAGACATATAAACCTGGAGGCCCCAGGTTCCATCCAGGTCTGTGCTATGACAGCTGATTGCACACACTAACTGCCAACTCTGTCTGGTCTCTATATTATGGAAAGTGTTCAGAGGCATTGCAGAAGTTGCAAAGAAGATTTGCTAAAATTGAATTCAGGGGTAATACACTTCTCAAAAGATTGAAGTGAAGCAACTTTTCTGTAGGGAAAAAAAGAAGACAAGTGATGGGAGATAGGCACAGGGAAAATACGTTCATCTTTGGGCAAGACAAGAACTGGGAGCCCTTTACACCAGTTAGTCATTAATAAATTAAATAAATGTAAATAATCAGGTATTCAGGAGGAACTAAAAGCAAGAATAGAATGTGGAAATCACTTGCATGGGGAGTGGGCAAGATGAGCAACATACATGTTTTTAAGAGGAAAAACTAGTTAAAATGACAAAGAAAAGATGAAGAAGGCTGATGGACAGCATAAAAACCAGCAGAACAGACAGATCAAATGGCTAATTTTTATGTAATTTGCATGAAAACTAAAGTGACATCAATCGTTAACTTGTCAGTCATTGTTATTCTCTGGTCAAAGCAAAGGCTATTGTTGTTGAAGAACGTGAGGCTCCAACAGAAGCAGCAATTAGACCCTAGTCCCAGCTACAACATGGTTTACAGAGTAAAGCTCCTTTGAAACTGTCCCCAACAAACACACCCAGCTCAGGGTTAGATATAGAATAAAGCTCCCTCCACACTTACCCACCAAACATTTCCAGGACAGGTACAGCATAGCGTTAGATACACAGTAAAGCTCTTTCTACACAGTCGCCATGAAATACTCCCAGGACAGGATGAGCACAGGATTAACAAAGAGCAAATCACCTCCTCCATCCTGTCCATTTAAACTGTGCAGTAATCCTCCTACATCAAACAGTTCCCCTTGCTGCACTAATGCAGTTTAACTGCACCAGACAACCTGCAGCAGTTAATGTAACTCAGGCCCAGCACACACTAGGTAGAGACCGGTGAACTGAGTGACAGCAGCTTGAGGCCAGCGTGTGACAATACATCTCTAGTCCCTCTTAGAAATACATCTTACATTCAAAAAAATAAATTAAGATCACAATTACACCAGAGCCACTTCATTACAAAAAGCTGAATTTATTCGCAGATTCGCTAAAAAGGAACAATTTTTACAAGATGATATTGCGGGGCAGTGCAAGTGACGCTGAAACTAATCTCTTATCTCTACGATGTCCAGGACCTGTCTGAATGGTCAGTATGGAGACGGGAGGTAGACGGGAGGGGGTGCTCGAGTTCACGTGACAAACCTTTGTGCAGGACTGCATTGGCAGGCTTGTTACCAGCCAGAGACTCCTTGGAGAGGTGCTGGTGACTCTCAGCTAAGCATTCGACCTCAGCAAAGCGTGCGTTGAGGGCCATGGCTGGATGATTGGGATCCTGGGTCATGTTGAGGTAAGCAGCTCTCCGCAGTTGCTCTTCGATTACCAAGGCCTGCTCCAAGAGCTGGGGGTTGGGGTGGGGGGGGGGGGGGGGGCGGGGATGTAGGGGTGGTGAGAGAGAGTTAGAGGCAAAAAACAAACAATTAGAGACAGACAGTCACGACTGGACTCCAGCTAATCCCTTCACAATCCCACCCAGCTCACTGCACCGCTACAATCCTCAGCCACATGAGACCAAAAAGGTGAGAGGAAAGTGCAACATTTAATTGAGAGGTGGAATGGCAGAAAGGAGGAAAGAGGAAAGAAGAGAAAGTATTTTGCACCTTTCATAGCCAATAGATGTCATAAAAAGACCTTGAACAGCCAATGAAATACTCCCAATGACTGTAGGAAATAAAGCAACCAACTTTGGCACAGCAAGCTCCCACAAAGAGCAACATGATAATGATCAGATAATCTGCTTTCATGATATTAGTTGAAAGATATGCATCAGCCAGGTCACCAGGAAGAACCCTAAAATAAAACAAAGAACTGAGTATGCTGCAGAACTTCATCAGTTCTGATGAAGAGTCACCAGCCTCAAAACTCTTAACTCTGCTTTCTCCCACAGATGCTGCCAGACCTGCTGAGTTTCACCAGCAATTTCTGTCTTTGGACTAGGAAGAATTCCCCTGTTCTTCAAAATAGCGCCAGCTGAAGGACTGTATTCTGCACTCTGTTCTGCTACCCTGACACACCTTGTATGGTACAATCTGCCTGTACATTAAGTAAAACAACACGTTGCACTATGTGTGATAATAATAAAATCAATTAATCATTGTGGGATCTCGATTTTGAGGCCCACCCAAGAGGACAGTTTCGGGCTCAGGTTAAAGCTCCAATAAAAGGCAGTACTCCCTCAGTTCTGCACTGTGTACATCAGGCAGCAATTTGGACTCATTTCTCCACATTGGGATGTGGACCCACAACCTCTGACTTGGAGTTGAGAGTAGAAGAACCTGATCACCAATAGAGACACGCGCACACGTCCATCCAAGCACACGTCTCTATGCACTCTCACCAGTACAGACAAGCAAATACACATAGGCGTTGCCACACACACACACACACACATATATTGAAACATTTAACATGTTGCCACATTCTGGTGCACCTGGGCGCGCGCACACATAGCTTGATTTACCTTGAATCTTCTGGCTAAGAATTTGTTTTTCATCTCCAGGAAATTCCCCTTGTTCATCTCTGCTTTGAAAGGCTCATTGATGATGGTATATCTGGGATCGTTTTGTATGTCCTGCCAGCGAGCATAGCCATGACCACACAGAAATGTTAAGGAAAATACAGTGAGAAAAGGCAAGTTTTGGTAGTTGAGATGTCACATATTACTACTGCAGGAGATACAGGAGAAATGGAGGAGCCTCAGACTTCCTCATGGAGTGGAAAAACAGAGTAAAGCTCCCTCTGCACTTCCAAACTGAAAGGAAAACTCCCTCTCCACACTGTCACTGTCAAACATTCCCAGGACAGGTGTAGCACAGGATTAGATACAGAATAAAACTCCCTCTATATTGTCCTCATCTTTTTAAATGATGCTCCTCCCTCAATGTGAGTTTCTGTTCCCCATACTAGGTGCCCAGTAGGGTGCTGCTCTGTTTTTGTCAAAGGGAGGGGACAGTAACTATCAGAACAAAGCATTAATTTACTTGGGACAGTGAGTGAAGCTTTGCACATTGTCAATGACCAGGAGACCTTTGGGAAGACCATGATTGGAATTCCCTGCACAGCTCTGGCCGAAATGCTGCAACAAGAACATCACCACAATATCGGAATGATATCAGCTACACCGAACAGGAAAAACTGCAGGGACTCTGAAACATCTCCTGAGAAAGCAGAAGGCTGAGGGGTGACTTGGTGGAAGTCCTTGATCATAACGAAGGGCTGATTTTTCTGTCTACATGGAAGAATTGAACTAGCACCCATAAATGAAGCCACAAAAAAAAATACAAGAAGGTTTTCATCCAGAGAATAGTGAGAATATGGAACTTGCTGGAGGAAAACACACGGATGCATGTAAGCAGAAAGCAGCAAGGAATGGAAATGTTTATTGATAGAACATGAAGACATGGAGATAGGTAGGACGTGACAATGACACCAGGGCAAGGACAAGATGACACCAGGGAAAGGAGCAGGCTCATGTAGTACACGAATAACAGCCTGGACCAAGTGGGCCGAACAGCCTATTTCTCTGCTGTATTTTAAGCACAGTCATCCTCACCCGCTCAGGGTCCTGACACAGTTCACATGGGGTCTTTAGTGCAGTCTCTCAAATCTGAGCCTGACCCTGCCCCAATCCCATAGCTCAGCGAAAGGATACGCAACAATGCCAGCCAGAAGCCAATAGTCATGCCTCCTGTGCCAGATATCGTAGATCTTTCCCGAAGAAACTGCAGCCCGTTCCTCGTTCTGCCAAAGCGTGTGCAACTCTGAATAAACAACACAAATTACCCATCAGAGCTGATTTAGAACATGGTGGAATTTCAGTTTTATAAATAAACGCCAGATAATAAAGGTCATTCCGTATAATGGTGACCATAACGATCATTGATTCTTGCACAAACCCATCTGCTTCACTGAACTGTTTTCAGAATTACATTTGCCATCTGACAATTTCCAACTCACATAGCACCTCACCCTGGGGGCACTGACACACACACAAACACACACACTCACAAGGTGCTGCCCCCTGGCAGCAGTGTTTCCTAACCCACCCCTCTACCGATCCCCCACTTACACCTTGGGTGGGCCAATTCAATCTCCGAAATAAAGATGACTAGTGGTCAGACACACTTGGTTAAAGGGTGCAGGGAAGAGCAGGATGGACAGAAAGCAGCAGGAGGAGGAGCCGGGGGGTCCCAGGCAGATACTGGGACAGACAGAGAGTGATTGGGGTGAAGCAGGCAACGAGAGACACAGATACAGATTTCATCCTTCTTAGTAACCGCCAATGTTACTGCCAGGTTCACCTGTGAAACCACCATCTGCAATATTGAACATAAATTTTCCTTTGCTAGACTGATCCTTTCTCTCTTCTTCCTCTTTCACTTCTTTTAATATCTCTCCGTTCTGTAGCGTTTCAGCAATCTCTCTCTCCTCGTTCACATCTTCAGCTGTCAAGAGAAACAGAAAATAGATCCCATTTCCAAAGACATCCAGCCAATGAGAATCACTGAGAAACTGGCTACCTGCCAACACAGGATCCTTTTTAACTGAGACCACCACCTGAAACTCCCCCTCCCCACCCAGACACTCCCCCAGCCACTCTGCTATTCCCTCATTCTATCCACCACCCATCCACTTGGGCTGATAGCCAGCCACTGGGATGCTCTGTGTGTTGTCAGAAGCTGTGAAAGCTGTGATGCCAGTCGAGGCAGTCACCTCCCAAAAGGTGGCAGCGATTGGCAGCAAAAATGGAGGATTCGATCCACAGTCAGCTTACCATAAGATTCCAGCTGTGACTCAATGAGCAATGCTCTCCAACTCGCACCACTCTCTAGTCAGAGACAAGTCCCATTCCAGAAACATGAGCACAGCATCTAGATTGACACAGCCAAAGTGCAATAACACGGGAGTGCTGCACAGTTGGCGGTGCTGTTGTTTTAGGTGAGAGATCAAACAGAGAATCGCTTGCCTTCCTTCTCAGGAAGAAGATCACAAGAAAATGTTTGGAAGCAAAGCAGGAAAGTTGTTCCTGGCATTTTGGTCAACATTTACTTAACCAGTTCTGAGGAAGGGTCACCGGACCCGAAACGTTAACTATTGTTTTACTTCACAGATGCGGTCAGATCTGCTGAGCTTTTCCAGCAACTTCTGTTTTTGTTCCTGATTTACAGCATCTGCAGTCCTTTCGGTTTTTATTTACTTGACCAACATAAGTTGGAGGTTATTTAGTCTTGACTATTTTTGGGCATTTGCTCTGCACAGATTAGCAGCTTTGATTGTTATATTCTCATAGTACTTTATTGGCTACAAAGCACCTTGGGACATTCACAGCTCGCAGAAGGCACTATAAAAATGCAATCCATTCACTGTATTAACTACCTATGCCAGTTCAATCAATTCGTTTAGCCCATGGAACAGTTCACTTAAATTCCACACCCCACCTCCTCTTCAAGATTTCTCAAGGATCTAGGCTACAACCAGGATGTATCCAGAAATTATAGACCCTGGACATTGTAAGAATAAATCCAGCAAGTGGAAGCTTCTATTATTTAGGATACAATTAGTAATGACATGGAAAAGGTGGGTTGTTTAGGAACAGCCAGCATGGAATTTTAAAAGGGAAATTGTGTTGCACTAGCTTGCTGGAGATTTTTGAAGAGGCAACAGAAAGGATCAACAATAGCAATACGATTGGATGTGGTGTACATTGACTTCCAGAGACTTGAGAGAAAAGTTACTCTTCCTGCAATAAAAGTGACTGTAGCAATGTGGATACAAAATTGGCTGAAGGAAAGGAAGCACAGTAATAATCAGTGGGTCTTTTTTTTGGAGCTAGAGAAGTGTTTTTAGTGGAGTTCCCCAAGGGTTGCAATTGGGACCCTTGTTTTTCCGATATATAATGATCTAGATCTTGGCATACAGGGAGAATCTCTCAGTTTGATATGAAACATGGAAGCAGTGAAAACCATGAACTTTCAAAAGGACATTGGTGGAGTAGGTGGATGTGTGGCAAAGTGGTGTAAGGTGGTACATTTTAGTTGGAAGAACATGGACAGACAATATAAAAACAAGGGAGTATAATACTTAAGGGGAGCAGGAGCAGAGGGTGCTGGGAGGTATGTGCATAAATCACTGAAGGTGGTAGGATAAGTGGCGAGAGCAGGTAATGAAGCAGAGAGTGTCCTCAGCTTTATTAACAGTGGCAGAGAGTACAAGAGTAGGGGATGCTGAATATGTACAAAACACTTGTTAGGCCTCAGTTGGAGTAGTGTGTACATGCAGGGACCACATTATAGAAAGGATGTCAATGTATTGGAGAGAGTACAGAAGGGAATTACAAAAATGGTTCCAGGGATGAGAAATTTCTAACATGAGGATGGACTGGAGACATTGGGACTGTTTTCCTTGGAGAGAAAGTGGTGAAGGGGAGATCTAATAGTGGTTTTCAAGACCACGAGCAATCTGGCAGGGAGCAACTGTTCCCACCCATAAGGATAGGCAGTGAAGGGGTATAGAGTTGACGTGTTCTGCAAATGTAACAAATCATAGAATTATACAGTATGGAAACAGACCCTTTGGTCTAACCAATCCACATCATGTTCCCAAACTAAACTAATCCCATTTCTCTGCTTTTGGCCCACATCCCTCCAAACCTTTCCTATTCATAAACATATCCAAATATCTTTTAGATGTTGTAACTGTACCTGCATCCACCACTTTCTCTGGAAGTTCATTTCACATACAAACCATTCTATGTATAAAAAAAAAAAAAGTTGCCCTTCATGTTCTTTTTAAATCTTTCTTCTCTCGCCTTAAAAATATGCTTAAAAATTGTGATTAAACACATTCACACAATGAGTGCTTGGGGCCTGGTGTGTGGTAGAGGCAGAGTCAATTGAGGAACTCCAAGAGGTTTTTTGGATGATTATTTGAAAAGAAACAAGTTGCAAGGGCTTGGAGAAAAGGCAAGAGAGTTACACTAAATCATGATTTAATAGGAGACACAATGGACCGAATGGCCTCTTCTGACCATATTAACTATGATGCTGTGGTCAGGGTCCCATATCCAGCAGCAGCAGACCATCAGTCAGACCCACACTGTCACCTCCTATTCATACCTTTAGGTTGAGAAGGGGTTGCCAGCTCCTGTGGTTCAGACTCTCCCTTCTCCCCTGCTCCTGCCTCGTTGACTTGTTTCTTGCTCTCCACCGTTTCTTGAGATTTCTCAGTGACAGAAGCAACGCTCCCACCACTGGGAACCTGCGGCAAAGAAAACATCAGGAGAGAAGTCAGTGATGTTACATACATTAACCAGCTGCAGGCCCTCCCACCCTCCCTCTCCTGAAAGTGATCACTGCCCTCTGGATACAGACTCATTGGGCAGTGACCACCCCCCCCTCATTTTTTTTAAAACAAAACACTAAATCCAAGATTGATCAATTTAACATCCTGCATTCACTGCTGTTTGTGGATAAGAGTTTCAAACATCAACCACCCCTTTGGTGAGTAGAAGTACTTCCAAACATCTCTATTAACCAACTTTTAAAAACCAACCTTTTTCTAGCTACCATCAGTTCTTAAGAAGGGTCACTCTGATTTCACTCAAGAGGCTGCCAAACCTGCTGAGTTTTTCCAGCAATTTCTGTTTTTGTTTCAGATTTCCAGCATCCGCAGTTCTTTCAGTTTTTATCTCTATTACAATCTGGCCCTAATTCTCAGGCTACGCCCCTTGTTCTAGAAACCCCAACCAGTGGGAACAGTTTATCTTTATCTACCCTGTCTTTTCCTGTTAATATCTTGAGGACTTTGATGAGATCACCCCTTAACTTTCTAAAATCTACAGAAAACAGGCCTAATTTGTACAATCTCTCCTCACACCTCAACCCCAGAAGACCAGGTATCATTCTTGTAAGAGATGGTAAGAACTGCCGATCCTGGAGTCTGAGATAACAAGGTGTAGAGCTGGATGAACACAGCAGGTCAGGCAGCATCAAAGGAGCAGGAAAGCTGACATTTCGGGTCTGGACCCTTCTTCAGAAGTGGGGGAGGGGAAGGGGGCTCTGAAGTAAATAGAGAGAGAGCGGGAGGTGGTGATAGAAGGTGGGTAAAGGAGCAGATAGGTGGAGAGAAGGAGGACAGGTCAAGGAGGTGGGGATGGAGCCAGTAAAGGTGAGTGTAGGTAGGGAGTTGGGATGGGGGTTGGTCAGTTGGGTGGGAGGGAAGATGGACAGATCAAGGAGGCGGGGATGAGGCTAGTAGACAGGAAGTTTGGGGGGGGGGGGGGGTCAGTGGGGGGGGAGGAGCGGATAGGTGGGAGAAAAAACGGACAGGTCAAGGAGGCGACGACGAGGTGGGCTGGTTTTGGGATGAGGTCGGGGGTGGGGAGATTTTGAAGCTTGTGAAGTCCACATTGAGACCACAGGGCTGCAGAGCCCAAGCGAAATATGAGGTGCTGTTCCTGCAACCTTCGGGTGGCATCGTTGCCACCTTGTACTCCTGTCCTCTAGATAGAATGGCCGGCATTCCATTTAGCTGCCTTGATTATCTCTGAACCTGAAACCCCAATTATCAGAGAGTATAATTACCAATGTACACGTGTAATTGTTGGCAGTAATTCGTCATCATTGTATGTTTAATGCTAATGAAATCCACTATCTTTGAGTTCTAATATCATGTGAAATAACTTAAAGCAAGAAGGTATCTGCTCTGATCCCAATTGGCCAGTGAAACAGCCCATCACTTATAGGTTCTAACAAAGAATCACTGACACAAATTTCAGGCAGAAGTTTATTCACGTCACTTTCCATCTTCAACACTTACCTCATTCTCCAGGAGCCTTTTCTCTTCCTGCTCTCTCTCTTTATCATCCATCCCCTCCACACGGCAGCCATTCTTTTCTGAAAGGGAAGAGAATTTTGTCAGTCACATCAAATCTGTGAACCTTTTACAACATCCACATAACATGATGACCCCAGCAACCAGGCCCCTGAAACAAAGCAGGCGACACAAACCCCGTCACCACAGGGAGATTAAAGATGACGGAGAATCACAACGGGGCATTTCCATGTGATTGAACCAGGTGTGGGATCACGCAGCCTAGTAACTTGCATCTGATGTATTCTTCAGTCCTCCAAGGTAGGTGGCACTGTGAAGGTGCATAGACACACCATTTGCCCACCTACCCACCACCAAAATGACCTCTTTCCCTCCACCCCTGCACTCCCAACTTCTTGACTCCTGCCAGGTCCCTACTCTCGGTGGAAACCACGCAGAAATGCTGTAAATACATTAAACGAGGTGTCAGCTCCAACTCAGTGGGTAGACCACTCAGCTCTGACAGCAGAGGCGACGGGATAAAGCCCCACTCCAGCGACATAACCATCATCCATGCCAACACTGCCAGGTCAATCCTGGTGTTGATAATTTGAACGGATTGAAGATAAAAGAAAGGATGCAACAGAATGTAGAAATACAGCAAAACAATCCAGAGGCAGGCAGAGAGAGAGAAACGGAGAGTGAGAGAGAACAGAATGAGAGCAAGTGGAAGAGAGAAAGACAAAAAAAAAACAAAAGAACATGAGAGAGAAGAAAGAAAGATTAAGTGGGAAGGAAAATCGATGAGGGAGTTTATTCATGTCACACAATGATCAACTTACCTAGAGATTTGTGGGTGGTGCACATTCCATCACACCCACATGCCAACTGATCATATACACTTACTGCAATGCCAAAGGTTACTGGGGTAGGTCATTCAGCCCCTTTGAGCATGTTCCATCATTCAACATAATTGCTGCCACTTACAGAAAGACAGAGCACGGCCCCCTTTTGAACCCACCTGTGGAACTTGGGGCTGGTGTACCAGGCAGGGGGCAGGCAGGGCTGGCTGCCACTGGGGTACTGGGATCTGACGAGATACTGTCGACAGGTTTCTTGTTTTCCAGGTGCTCCGGTACCATCTCTGGCGTGCTGTACCTTCCATTGATGTATTCAAACTCCTGCACCTTAGATTTTTATTTTTAAAAAAAGGGTGAATTTTAACAAATGAGAGGAAAATGAAACCAGAAGTAAAAGATACACAACAGGACTAAATAATGGGGCTGGGGGTCAAACATTGACCTTTCAACTCTAGGTCCTGCATCCAAATTCAGCTCAGTTCAAGAAGTGATTCCCTGAAATCTGCAGCCATCATGAAACAAAATGGGGGAAGTATCCAACCAACTCATTCACCATGAGCCCCCAAATAAAACCCAAAACCTGCCCAACTAATCTCATTCAAAAACGGTCAAACAATGCACACTATCAGAGGTTGGGCTAATTCTGAGAGTGTTCAGGAACAGGGGTAGAGGGACTTTAACTAAACTGATGTACCTAATATTGTCTGGTGTGTTTAAAAGGTGACACTCATTGCCAGAAGCAGAAAGCATTCCAATCTTCACCTCCCCAAGTACAAAACGTACCCCAAAAAAAATAAAATCACAAAAGGTACATGGCCTTCTAGTAAAAATGATGCCATTAAGCTGCCTTTCTTCATTAATGTGGTCTGCACATCATTGGGAAGAAAATGAAATCACACATCCCCTTTATTACTGATGCCATGGAAAGTATGGAGTTGATGTTCCCGGGTGTAACTGCTCCTGATTGGCAGTAACAGGTGTAACTGCTGGTTACTTTTGTACCTTATCTTGCTGCTACTTAAATCTTCCATTTGGCTGTTCCCAAGATCTTCCACAGCCTCTAACCCACTGAAATAAGACAGGAAATGTTGGAAGCACTGAGCTGCCTGAATCTGCTGAGCATTGGACAATAAAACAGTCAACTCTGGCTTGTGAGATGATAATGAGAGTATATTATCACAGAAAGTGATGCAATGTCACATGATTTTGCTCTCTCTCTCTCGCAGACTAGTGACAAGATGCAGCCACTTTAGGCTGTTTCTTACATGAAGTCAATATTTTTAAAAATATTAATTTGTAATATTCTTTTAATTTTGTTACCAATTTATGTTTTGAACGTGTTATGATCTCCATGGCCATCACATCCCGATGTGAGACTTGAACCTGGACCCTCTGGCCCAGAGGCAGGGACACCACCACCACACCATGACAGCCCTTCTGTAAAGATCTTTTTAACATGACCAAGAACAATTATTAATCAGATCTAGTGTTTTCTGTTTTAAATCTAGACTCCCAACATCTGCAACATTTTGGTATTGTGAAAGACAGCTGCTTAGCAAAGATGTGCAGTGTTTGGCTCTCATGGGCTACATCTCAAAGCACCAACAGACTTCCTCCAACAGGTATTGTAGAAAATCCCAGTATCCTTTGCTGTACAGCAAATACCCTGTTCAATATTTATCCCACAACAAATACCACCAAAGGACATAATTTTTTGTGTCTTACTGCTGTTTCTGGGATCCTGCTGCATCATAAATTGAGTCTCATTTTTTCTCTGGTGCAACAGTGAAAATAGTCCATTGTCTGCAGTGAAACTTTGGGATATCCTGAGATTTTGAAAGGTATTGTATAAAGGCCAGTCTCTCTTTAGTACCTCTGATATTGTTAAGTAAACAAAATTGAGGTACCAGCTTTACAAACAGCCTTTTCCCAAATCTCCACTGCCACAAACCTTTAACAAGCCAGGAAATCCCTGATCAAACACTGTTTAGACAGGATCCAGAGTGCTAGAACAGAAAGGGACAGATCACACAGCCCCGTCTACTGCCTCCACCCACTCACTTCCACTGCCCACTCTGCGCTCTCCTCTGTCCACCACCCCCCCTCACCTCCACTCACTCCTCCCCGGTCCCCTGCCCACTTCCACCCCCCCCTTTCCCTTCCCCTTCCCTTCCACCACATTCCCCCTCCCCTTCCCCACTCCCCACTTAGATGCCACTGCCTCCAGCAAAAAGCAGTTCTCACCCCCAACCCTTACTGAGAGTATGATTCCTGTATGGAGCTGCCCCTCCAAAGTCAGGATGGGGAGTGATTTGGAGAGGCAGCTGACTGGCAATGATCCCACGACAGCCTCACTGCATTCACTGTGAGTGTGCTATGTCTGGGCCTGGTTGGGTGAGGTGTCAAAAGGACAGGGGAACCGATAACAAGTTGCATTTGCATAGCGCCTTTAACACAGTAAACCTTCCCAAAGCTCTTGCAAACAGAATTAGCCAATTGGACATTGAGCTATAGGAATTCCTGCTACCCACCTTCTTTCGTACCAGTGACATCACACCTATCCTGGTGAGCACATGTTGCCGGGACAACCCTTCCCGAGGGACACCATCTGCAAAGGTCTCAGATCCATCAGCCCCTGGCTCACACAGGTGTCTCATAAACAGTGACACGTAGGCTCTGGGAGGGAAGGAAAGAGTAGACAAAGTGTTTCAATGTGACGGTCACAGCAAACAACAGAACCAAATAATTTTCTCAAATTGGAGGGAGTTGGGTGATCAGAGGGTTTGTAACTTGACAATCCTCTCGTGGGCCACAGGGTGAAGTGGGTGAATGGTCCACAATGCTGGCTGACACCGCATGACCACGATGTGGACACCCCTCCCACGTGTGTGACCGTCTTTGTCCCAGTCATGGGGGGGGTGGGTTTTAGGGACGCCAACAGCCTGTCCACACATCAGTAACTTCCAGAAGGGAGACCAGAGTTCAGGGCCAGCTCTCTCAATTGTCCAGGACTCCTGCCCACCCAAACATGGGAGCCTCATCCATCTGCCCAAAGACCATCCGGCAACCCGCTTGCCCGTCCAGACTGCCCAGGAGCACCCCCCAAACCCCAGCAAGCAGACAGGAAAGGATTAGAGGATGTGAAGGCACAGGGGAAACATAATTGGTGGGAAGGTGTTTACTGGAAATGTACCTGAACTCCTTCTCACTTTTGCCCCGGAGATCTCGGACAAGCCAGTGAGAGTTGAAGGCATCTTGGGGTGGCATCCCCCAGCGCATAATGGCATTAACAAAGGCTTTACGTTGGCGAGCATTGAATCCAAGAACCTGGAACAGAGACAGAATTAAAGATCACTGGGAGGGGTAATCATGGGTGCAGAAAATCCTCACTCATACTCCATCCTGGAATGCCCACTCCAGCCTCTCCCTGCCCCCTCATCCCATCCCCCCTCCTTCTGCCTACACCTCCTGGGACACTTGGACAAAGTATCATTGGCCTTCTCTCATTGGAGACCATCACAATAACATTCCCAAGCCAGAAGGCCTACCAATCCAACAAAAAACATGCCCCCTAGTTTTGAACTGTCCCACGCTATTCACCTTATCTATGCCCTTCATGATTTTAAAACCTCTATAAAGGTCACTCCTCAACCTCCTATGCTCCGGTGAAAAAATTCCCAGCATTCCCAGTTATTTTTATATCTCGAAACCTCCATTCCCAGCAACATCCTGGTAAATCTTTTCTGAACCCGCTCCCATTTAATTATATCCTTCCTACAACTGGGTAACCAGAACTGCACACAGTACTCCAGAATAGGCCTCACCAACGTACAAATTCAACATGAAGACCCAACTCCTATCTTCAAAGGTCCGAACAATGAAGGCAAGCATGCTAAATGCCTTCTTGATCACCCTGTCTACCTGTGATGCAAATTTCAAAGAATTATATATCTGAATCCCTGGGTGTCTCTGTTCTACAACACTATCCAGGGTCCTACCATTAAATGTGTAAATCCTGCCTTTGTTCGTTTTACCAAAATGCAATACCTCGCATTTATCCAAATTAAGCTCCATCTACCACTCTTCAGCCCATTAACCTAATTGATCAAGATCGTTTTAAACTCTTTGATTATCTTCCTCACTACACCACCAATTTTGGTGTCATCCACAAACTTACTAACCGTGTCCCATATTCTCATCCAAATGGTTTATATAAATGTGGACCCAGCACCAACTGCACCTCCCAGTCGCACACCTACACATCTGCCAATGTGGTATACTGCATCCGCTGTACCCGGTGTGACTTCCTCTACATCGGGGAAACCAAGCGGAGACTCGGGGACCGCTTTGCAGAACACCTACGCTCGGTTCGCAATAAACAACTGCACCTCCCAGTCGCGAACCATTTCAACTCCCCCTCCCATTCCTCAGACGACATGTCCATCCTGGGCCTCCTGCAGTGCCACAACGATGCCACCCGAAGGTTGCAGGAACAGCAACTCATATTCCGCTTGGGAACCCTGCAGCCCAATGGTATCAATGTGGATTTCACAAG